TAATCAGTTTCCATCCATTGTTTTTTGTCCTGCCTTCTGGTGCTTTGGAAAATAAGTTGACCGCCTCTTCTTTGTGGCAGCCCCTCAAATATTGAAATACTGCTATCATGTCACACACACACACCCCAGTCCTTCTTTTCTGTAGACTGGCCATACCCAATTCCTGCAGTTTGAGGGCTGTCAAACTCCTGGCCCACGGGGCCTCATGCGTCACACGCTGACCACGCCAACGCCTGGTTTAGCGAAGGGGGGGGGGGAGTCCCAAAATACCATGTGATGACGCCATGAGTTTGACACCCTTGCCATAGACCTTTATATTGTATTATATCCATTATATAAATTTAAGGGAACTGTATTTTTTCCATTATTTATATTAAAGGATGACAAAGATGCACTATTTTTTAGACATAATTTTATGTTTTTTCAAAGTGTTGCTACAAAATCAAGTGAGAAATGTACTGCATTTATACTATGTTAACTCTTTCATATCTTTTAGCTAATCTATTTGTACAGTGATACTAAACTGCAACAAATCTTGAGTAATCTTATACAGTTAGACATTTGCTTCCCATTTCGTTCTAATTTCACCTCCCCCAGAAAACTAGACCAGAAATAGGATCCTTAAAGCAGACTAATAAAAGGTCAAGTCTCTGGTCTGGTTTCAGAAATTGTAAGTATTTTGGATCTAGCATATCTACAACCAGCGCATGGTATGGAGCAAGATGTATGTTGTAAGGTACAACCACTATTTAGATATTTCAATCATATCTGAATTTCCAAACTTCTCAGTGATATCAAAATGCTGGAAGGGGACTACTCACCACAGCCAACTTGCCACAGGACAATTCATCACAGGATAATTCAAGAGAGGGACAAGTAGAATTGCAGCTTACGGAGCCTTGAGGGCTTCTAACTTGAGATGGTTCAAACCTAAAGCTTTTCAGTTTCAACTTTGAAAAAATCTAAGTGAAAACACAGCACACAGCTACAAAAGTCTTTTTTTAGAGTGTAAGTAAAGTAGGCCTGGGTATTCATTCAAAGAGCACTACTTTAAGAACCACAACAAAAATGTACAAAACTGGGTATGTAGCAAATCATAACACCTGAAACAAATGTAGACTCACTTAGTCAGAATATCACATAACTGTTCTCTTAAAGGCTCAATAAGCTCACTTTATTTTAAAAAACATTTCTAAAAAATAAAGACATTATACAAGAGTTAACCAAATATTTAACCCTTACTGTATCTGATTGCAAGTGTTATCCCTCACTTGTAAAACAAAAGCAACACAACGAAACTGAACATTTCTATACATTTTAGCAAAGAAAATTTGGATTGCATATGTCCGCGCAACCTCAAACTCCTTTTGCTTTTTGAAGCAGTTAATGTGATCAAGAAGCTTTATTTTTTTCCAAATGCTGTCAGACTTTTGGTCCAGCACATTGCAATAGAAGAGACACAGAAGTGGATCTCTACAGGTCAGCAATGGAACTCTTAAACACACAACAGTTCTGAGCCACTTGGGAAATGACAACCTTAAACTGACATTATTGTGTAATAGTACATACAAGATAAACATCAAGGATTTTTCATTTCTTCACTTCGCTTCCTACAGCCCTGAAAAATGTTTACAATCTTTAAAGTACATCACTTTTTTTTCAACATATTATGCAAAGACAAATTATGGGCTATACTTTAGGAAGTCAAGTACCAAAATATATTTTAAAATATGTATGCTTCTCCTTTACAAATTAAATATGAGACTGAACCCTCAGAATATTTGACATATTCCACTGACTAATGGGTAAAAGGTAGAATGGCTAATTGTGGAAAAATGTTACTCCAATGCCTTAGCTAATTTCAATATTCAAGCGCCAATCATCATATAGCAGTGAGTAATCCTTCCAAAGGTGAGAATAATTAAGATGGTTATGTAATCAAACGAGGAACTAAAATTACCCATGCTTCATATACCAGGTGTCCATATTAGGGGTGACATTTGGCCCAGAAATACTGATGTTTTTTTAAAAATCCAAAATAACCAGTTCTTTAGGAAAAGTTTTATTTTGGTGGATCTGTGTTTATTCCATATTTCTCCTTCAGAAGCTTGAGCTGTTCTTCTTTCTTCTTTGTATCCATTTTTTGGAAGGCCTGTCACAGAACAAAGATAAATATTGAAAGCAACATATTATGAATGCAAAAAACATTTAAGCCAATTTCACTTTGGGACTAGATAATCTTGTGCAATTCAGGTTACCTAACATCAAAAATGGTTTGTGATTTAACTACACAATTGGAAATAAGCGAAAATGAGGGTAAGATATCGCATTCTACAATAACAGGCTGGCCTTAAGTTAACTTGCCCCTCCCGCATTATGTCAGTACTGCTATATCGGAGAGAGATACCTCATGAGTCCTCCTGTATGTCTATTCCTAGGTTTGTGAAATGCTTGTGATACATGGAAGTTTGAGACCACCCATGCACCACAAACCATTAAGCTAGACAGAGTAAACAAGCTGGTAGGTGTTTTCTTTAAGGCTTTTAATTTTTATAAACATCTCTGGAGGTCTATATCCAAAACTGCTGGTAGACTAAACATGACTCTTAAACTTTGCAAAACATTAAAATAAAAAAGAAAATCTACAGTAAGATTCAAATTTACTCCTCTACCCAAAGGGAGTTACCCTACAATCTTTGTTCTTTTAAGAGTGAAAGAAATATGAAACTGAGAAGGCTAATGACTACATTTATTTATTCTTAATGCTACTTCCAAGGAGGGAAACTCATATCCAGGATTTATAATCCATAATTAAAATAATCAAAATACAGTAAGTCAAGAAAGCAATAATGCATATATATTATATATGAACCTTAATACATGAGATTGATTTTTCATTTTTTTTTAAAGAGATGGTTTTCTTTTGGAAAACTTAGGTGTGGAGCCATTTTTCTTTATATGTTGCAGAATATATGAAAATGTACAAAACTCTTATCTCACTTCTCTAACCAAATCCTTCAGTTTGTTACAGCTAAAATCTCCCTGGTTAGAATATTTGTAAAGGAAATTAAGTGTTCCCATAATATTCTCATCAAAAGGGAAAAAAGATAGCAGAATTAAAGAATTGATATGCTTTAAGAAGATACTTGCCCTGTTTGCATTATAGTACAAAACGACAAGGTATCTGTTGCACACATTGAATCCTGACAGATGATCACAAGCATT